TGCCACTACAGACGCAGAAGCTCAGTCTACCACTGTCACCGAATCAAACACTACAGGAGCAGCAGTGCAATCTACCACCGCAACAGAGAGTGCCACTACAGACGCAGAAGCACAGTCTACTACTGTCTCCGAATCCAACACTGGAAGAGCAGCAGTGCAATCTACTACCGTTGCAGAGCGCGCCACCACAGATGCTGAAGTTCAGTCTACCACTGTCACACAATCAGACACTGCAGAAGCAGCAGTGCAATCTACCACCGCAACAGAGAGTGCCACTACAGACGCAGAAGCACAGTCTACTACTGTCTCCGAATCAAACACTGGAAGAGCAGCAGTGCAATCTACTACAGTTTCAGAGCGCGCCACCACAGATGCTGAAGTTCAGTCTACCACTGTCACCGAATTAAGTACTGCAGGAGCAGCAGTACAATCTACTACCACTACCGAGAGTGCCACCACTGATGCTGAAGCTCAGTCTACTACTGTCACGGAATCGAGCACTGCAGGAGCAGCAGTGCAATCTACCACCGCAACAGAGAGTGCCACTACAGACGCAGAAGCACAGTCTACTACTGTCACCGAATTAAGTACTGCAGGAGCAGCAGTACAATCTACTACCACTACCGAGAGTGCCACCACTGATGCTGAAGCTCAGTCTACTACTGTCACGGAATCGAGCACTGCAGGCGCAGCAGTGCAATCTACCACCGCAACAGAGAGTGCCACTACAGACGCAGAAGCACAGTCTACTACTGTCTCCGAATCAAACACTGGAAGAGCAGCAGTGCAATCTACTACAGTTTCAGAGCGCGCCACCACAGATGCTGATGTTCAGTCTACCACTGTCACACAATCAGACACTGCAGGAGCAGCAGTACAATCTACTATCACTACCGAGAGTGCCACCACTGATGCTGAAGCTCAGTCTACTACTGTCACGGAATCGAGCACTGCAGGAGCAGCAGCGCAATCTAATACCGCAACAGACAGTGCCACTGCAGACACTGAAGTTCAGTCTACCACTGTCACTGAATCGAGCACTACAGGAGCAGCAGTGCAATCTACCACCGCAACAGAGAGTAGCACTACAGATGCTGAAGCTCAGTCTACTACTGTCACGGAATCGAGCACTGCAGGAGTAGCAGTGCAATCTACTATCGCTACAGAGCGTGCCACCACAGACACTGAAGTACAGTCTGCTACTGTCACCGAATCAAACACTGCGGCTAAGGTCCACGATCAGCCTACTAGAACAGTATTTACTTCGCCATGTGGAAATCATCCAACTTCTGTTGCAACTGACAATACTTCTGAAAAAGAAAGTAAACAGACCAACACTCCAACTGAACATACAGTCATTGTAGCACACAATCAATTTTACGAAACTCAAACTAAGACAACAACTTCGGCTCATCCAATTCTAGAACCAGTATCTGGTATGCCCTCCATACATTTAACTTCCAAAAACGATCCCCCAACAACAGATGAACCAATAGAAATTTGGGAACAATCCACGAAACAGTTTGCTCCAACAACATTTATTTCTGAGTCTTTAGTTTTGAAGAATAAGCAAACTCAATTTAAAGTGATACCACTAGAAATTCCTACAGAAGCGACACAGAAGCCTGTGCAGTCCACAATCGTGCCTATACATCCTAAAACCAAACCTGAGCAATCGACAATAACAACGGTGCAGTCCACAGACCAATCAACACAGGCAACAATAGGATCATTTCCATCGATTGTCAAACCCATACAATCGCGCGAGCCGAATGTATTCAATGTCAAAGCGATATCGTCAATCGAACCTTTAAAATCGACAACTGAATCAGTACATTCGATAACACAATCGACGGTTGTATCTGAACAATCATCAAACGAACCTCTGCAGGTAACAATCGAACTTCTACAATCATCAATCGAACCTACACAGTCCACAGTCCAAACACAACAGTCGAGCGCACAACCTGGACAATTCGCAACCAAACCTGTTAATCGAATCGAAACAACTACAGAAAATCCAGAAAGCAAAAAATCAAATGAACATAGACCATTCATACAAGTTACAAAATCAACAAAGAGTCCGATCGGGAGCACCCTAAAAGGATATTACCGAGAAATCAACCCTACCCAAGGCTTCGGTGATGATGTCGGGGAAAATGAAGATAAACGCAAAGGAAGATATGATTTATCTAAATTTAATCAAGGTATGATTTATTTTCGATTTATTTTTAGTACATAATGTATGTATGTCCCTATATGGTTTACTTATTTTATAAATGCCAAAGTTTGGGAGGATTAATAGATATTTGGTACTCTTTCACACAAAAACAACACGGCACGTCCTTACGGATCCACCAGATCCATTAATCTCAGCACTAGACGCCTTTAGTTCTAACACTAGGAGCAGGTTCAGGGACCCTGGAAACCGTAATCGTCGAGCTCGGCAAAGAGTTTGACGTGTAACCTAACCCATATAGGTACATATCAGCCCGCTAAGTTTCTCTTCGGCTCTTCTCAGCGGGTCGTGATTTCGATCCGGTAGTAGATTCATTGGTGAAAACTTCACTGGTTTATAACGTGTATGCATAGGATACTACTATCATGATAAAGTACTTGATCCAGGCAAGAACATGAACAAAAAAATCATTCGCTATAGTAAAGACGATCTTGTACCTATTCTCTGGTTCACGATTTTACGTAGATACCAAGGATTTACAAATAGACTGGTTATGGACGAGAAAGATTGAAAAACAATTTTTTATCTCGGGAAAATATATGAATTTTAGTATTAATGAATTAGAAATGTATCGCAGGTAAAACCGCGGTGCACGTCTAGTAAGATTTGTAATAGTAACTCGTTTGCATTATATGTACGAGTATGATAATGTTTTCAAATTCCCGCCATAAATTACTTTAAAAAAAACTTTCCCTGGCTTGCGTGAGTTTAAGACATACGAGTAATTGAAATAGCTGTTACGTTTTAATACCCCGTATTTAATTCTCAATAAATGATTAGTGACGTTTCGAATACATAGTTTTCACCCATAGTAAACCCTTAGTAGACTCACCCATAATTTTAACTTTCAGCAAGTTTCGTACAGTGTGACAGATACTACATATTATCATATTAAATTAAACATATGGTTAATACTTATTAAAATGCTTTAATCATAACCTCGTTAAACATTTTTAACCATTGTAAATAAAGTAACCTCTACTCTGTTAAGTACTAATCCCGTTTTACTGATTATCAGCTCCGGCAATGCATATGGCCGTTGAAAACGAAATAACATTGAAGACTCTGATCGTCGAAGACGGATCCAAGTATGGACGCTGCTACTGTTCGTGTGACCTGAATAGCAAGCCAGTCTTCATTAGCTTGGATGGAAGTGCTTTGAAACCTAGACGATGAATCCAATAGATATACCTCCTAATTAAGTCATTCATAAACCAGCTATAATCCATGCTAATTACATAAATAATACAGTAATACAAATAAAACTATTATCAATTCTATATTCACCCGTACACTAATTTAAGTACTACTATCATAAAAGCTTGTACCTAAATGATAAGCGTACTTTTTACAATGCCAAGATATGATTTGTATCGATATAACCTTTTTATAGAAAGAAGATCCAATACGTCTTACGCTAGTACTTGTGGTCTAATGGATAAGATGCCCGGTACAATCATACCGACCACTACGGCTATCCGTAGCTAGGAGCTAGGAACTAGGAGCTAGGGTAGATTAGGAGTAGTATAGACCTTAGCTCAAATCCCGCATGCTAGCACCAATTTTCTTAGGAAATACTTTTCAGATCTTCACGTACAACTTGCACACATACATACTCACTCGCATCTAATACCAAAATATATATTTTTTAAATAATCACGAGGCTGCGCAAATTATTATTTGAAAAAATTTTAAGTTTTTCATTTGAAATTTGTCTCTATTCATTTAGTTTACAACTTATTTAACTTTAGGCGAGTCACGAAAATCCATATTCGGAAATCTGTCTTATTTGCCTCAGTAAATTATAAAACATTCAGTATACGATGAAGAAGGTGGTTATTAGAAATAATAAGTGTATTATCTATGGTTATTAGATACACAGATTATTTTAATAGTTGTGATTAGATAATTATAAACAATACTAGGGATAAAAAGATGCCACTGCCTCACCACTACCTCCGTTACCTACATTTATCTGTCAGTGCTTCGAGTATTCTGTCACTTGAATTCGATCTATCGCTAAAATTAGTATATTAGGTATAGGTTATAATATAGTATATTTCTAGTTATAAGTGACATAGAGTATGTTGCTATTCCGACAGAATATTGATGGCAACATTAACAGTAACGTCAAAAAAGGAACTGGTTAACTAACTGGCATTCTAGTTGTTGCGTTTTAAGCGTTTTATATTTTATAATCTTGAATAAATTTTGTTATCTAAGGAACTTCTGTTGGACAGTCATTGAATTAAAAAAAAAACCGCGTTCTTGATGAATGTGAAAACAAGTGATTGAAATTGGAGGCCGTAAATCATAGTGGGCCGGACGCTTGGCAATTGTCACGCCAATCTTGTGGAGTTCGTAATTAGCCCGGGACACCGTGGGGAATACCGAATTGCTGATCGATGGTGTGTCGGTTGCCGCGGTGACTGTGGGGACGCGTGTGCCATTGGCCGGTGACTCATAACAGGACGTAGGGATGGACACTGACGATGGCGAGTCTTCAAGTAGCGGGCCTATGTCTAGCCTTAACAGCCTATTCTCATTTACCAGTCCCGCTGTAAAAAAACTACTTGGCTGGAAACAGGTAATCAAAATATTTAATAATTATAAAACCAATATCTCACATTGAAATTAGAACTATTGGTATTGATATGGTATTATTTTGATTAAGCATAAATGTCTAAAAAGCGACAACTTACTAACAGAAATGAATGTACTTCTCATATCTTCTGTTAGTACAATTACAATGTCTTTATTTCAACTAGACGAGAAACAGTATTTAAATTTAGCATTTAGTTTGTATTCGGTATTTATAACTAAACTGGCAAATGATCGGCAAGGACAGAGATCGGTGGAAAGGACTGGAGGAGGCCTTCACCCGAGGAGGGGTCCATATCCAATAACAAAAATTAACTCGTACTAACATTTAGAAAATAAATATTAATAACTAACTAAATACTAACAAATAAATACCACATTTCAAATGAAAGTTAAGCATTAGGAAATACAGGCTTTTTTATTTTTTTATTTATTTTATTTATTTATAACTAAACAGATGAGATGTTTTGTCAACTTCACTATAAAACACATGCCTAAGGTTTTGACTAATGCTTATTAGTGCCTACCATCGACCTAATGATCTGATTAGCATCTCTGTAGGTATATTTGTGATATCAACCCAATGGCAATAGGGGACCTTCGATTAGCTAGTGTGATGAGGATTCTTAGTAGTGATAGAGTAACTAAGTAGGGATTGTGTGTATGTAACATATCAGTACTGCAATATTCTCTTTGCTTCCTTCTGTTTGAGATATCCACTAAAATGTTAAGTATTTGTAGTATCAAAATCCNGAAACGCGATTTTTTATAAGTTAGCAGCTATTATCATGCATATTCAGATTTGTTTTGTGAACTTTCAACATTCTACTATTAAACTACAAAAAACGGAAGATTTTGCAACGAATATAAAACTTATATTGAGCGTCGAAAGATTTTCCCGGTTTTTTCCCGATTCGCCTCTCAATCCCTAATCGCCCCATTTTACCGGTATATTAGGTATAGGTTATAATATAGTATATTTCTAGTTATAAGTGACATAGAGTATGTTGCTATTCCGACAGAATATTGATGGCAACATTAACAGTAACGTCAAAAAAGGAACTGGTTAACTAACTGGCATTCTAGTTGTTGCGTTTTAAGCGTTTTATTTTTTATAATCTTGAATAAATTTTGTTATCTAAGGAACTTCTGTTGGACAGTCATTGAATTAAAAAAAAAAACCGCGTTCTTGATGAATGTGAAAACAAGTGATTGAAATTGGAGGCCGTAAATCATAGTGGGCCGGACGCTTGGCAATTGTCACGCCAATCTTGTGGAGTTCGTAATTAGCCCGGGACACCGTGGGGAATACCGAATTGCTGATCGATGGTGTGTCGGTTGCCGCGGTGACTGTGGGGACGCGTGTGCCTTTGGCCGGTGACTCATAACAGGACGTAGGGATGGACACTGACGATGGCGAGTCTTCAAGTAGCGGGCCTATGTCTAGCCTTAACAGCCTATTCTCATTTACCAGTCCCGCTGTCAAAAAACTACTTGGCTGGAAACAGGTAATCAAATTTTTTAATAATTATAAAACCAATATCTCACATTGAAATTAGAACTATTGGTATTGATATGGTATTATTTTGATTAAGCATAAATGTCTAAAAAGCGACAACTTACTAACAGAAATGAATGTACTTCTCATAGCTTCTGTTAGTACAATTACAATGTCTTTATTTCAACTAGATGAGAAACAGTATTTAAATTTATCATTTAGTTTGTATTCGGTATTTATAACTAAACTGGCAAACGATCGGCAAGAACAGAGATCAGTGGGAAGGACTGGAGGAGGCCTTCACCCGAGGAGGGGTCTATATCCAATAACAAAAATTAACTCGTACTAACATTTAGACAAAAAGCATTAATAACTAACTAAACACTAACAAATAAATACCACATTTCAAATGAAAGTTAAGGATAAGGAAATAGGCTTTTTTTGTTTTTTTTTTTTATTTTTTATTATTTTTTTATTTTATTAACTAACAGATGAGATGTTTTGTCAACTTCACTATAAAACACATGCCTAAGGTTTTGACTAATGCTTATTAGTGCCTACCATCGACCTAATGATCTGATTAGCATCTCTGTAGGTATATTTGTGATATCAACCCAATGGCAATAGGGGACCTTTGATTAGCAAGTGTGATGAGGATTCTTAGTAGTGATAGAGTAACTAAGTAGGGACTGTGTGTATGTAACATATCAGTACTGCATTATTCTCTTTGCTTCCTTCTGTTTGAGATATCCACTAAAATGTTAAGTATTTGTTGTATCAAAATCCATTTCGTCAAGGATTTCAATTATTATCTATAAGCTATAGTCTGACGGGTCAGATAAAATTGTGGGAAACAAATGTATTAATAAAGTAACTAAAAGTGAATAGACATTACTATTAGTATATGTAAATTGATGTACTAATGACAGTTAAATGAGGTGTAAGCTAGACTGACTGCATACCTCCAGAATCTTCTGAAATCTTATTGATGAAGAGGTGCCAAAAAGTAAAGATAGGATATTTTTTCAAATGTAAATAACATAGAACATCAGATTCAATATCATACTCAACATGTGTATACAAACCTCGTTCACAATAATGCATTAATTTATTAAGGAAAAATAAAGGTAAATATTTTAAATGTGGATAATGAGATAGAGTATTTTAAATCTATTGTTCCATGTCTTTCAGTTGTAAAACAGTAATGCATTTTACTTTCAAAGTTGTGAAAACCTTTATACAATATAAGAAAAAATAATCTGTTAGTGCCTATCAGCAAAGTTAGAAGTGTCAAAATTAATTCTGCAATCTACAATTTCTGTACTGTAAATAACTGGGTCATTTTCACAGGCATTCTTAAAATAAGCAAGATTAAATCTTTATGTTTCATTCTCAATATGTGCCACGTTTTTCCATGTACTTCTCATGAGCACCAGTCTAGTGCTATGAATCAATAGATGATAGGAATGAATATCACATTTCTACAGCAATAGCCTGAAGTTCGAATAAGCAACTGAATTTTACTGAATACTGGCTATTGTTGCTTTCAAAGACAAATAAGCATGCAACTGATGTTGAGTGGTTACCATTAATGATAGACATGCGTAACGTCACATACAGCTTAAGAAAGATTGAGGACTCCTGATATTTTCTGTTTACTGGGTGCAACTATGCTTGCTGTGTACTTGCTTGAACATAAAATTGATCGTAATATAGTAGGATCATTGATATCACACTAAAAAACACTTTTTTAACTATGATTCACAAAAAATATATAATACTAAGAAAAACAATGAATCATAAGAAACGTTATAAGATAATGATATATCTAACAATAACTTAGGTTATTGTCAATATAAAAAATTAAGTAGCAGTACAATTTCAATAAAAATATTCTATTGTCTAATCGGTGAGATGTAGTCTAATGGAACTTATTTTTTTGTTTAAATTACCAACAAAGTCTATATTAGTGGTTGCCATTGTGTCCCCAAATGATAGAAGAATTGATAATGTTTTAGTAGTTTTAAACAAGCTGTCTGCGAAATGGAAATGAGTGGGATGGTCATGCATACCCTTTATGGGCTATGATATACCCTAATATACATCAAATTACTTACTGACCTGATTGACAACTGCAGTACACCAGTGTGATCTTCTCAAAACACTGGAGCCCATTTTCCAGTGAATCCCTTGGTTGCCTTTTATAACACTTTTAGGATGGGATATCAAGCATGCTTATGGTACCGACCATTGGTCTATTTTGACTGGATTATTGTCTTATGTAGTATGTATGTTATGTTCTATCAAAGTGAAGATCAACTTGGAATTTAACTGAGTGATATAGACAATCGATAAAATTTTTGTAGCAATAGTTAGCATCGAATAGAAAATATTTGAGAAATTCCTGAATCAGACTAACGACATTTTCAAGATAAGTTTGTATGTATAGTTATAGTATATACACAAGTGCCATACAATAACATTCTGTCTGTTAATGTTCCGAGCAATTTTCATAGCTCAATTAAAATTTTTCCCAGTGTTGATCCCTCTAAAGGTTGCAATTATCTTCTTACAGTATACAAGTAACAAGAATAAAGTAGCAGTAATTATGATAATAAATATATACAAAACAGACGACTGACACAAATAATCTCCGCGTTTGATGCACTGGAGAGAGATCTGGTTGTGGGAGAGAGGTCTGGTGGTAGGACCTCTTGTGAGTCCGCGCGGGTGGGTACCACCACCCTGCCTATTTCTGCCGTGAAGCTGTAATGTGTTTCGATTTGAAGGGTGGGGCAGCCGTTCTAACTATACTTGAGACAGAACTTGTATCTCAAGGTGGGTGGCGCATTTACGTTGTGGATGTCTATGGGCTCCAGTAACCACTTAACACCAGGTGGGCTGTGAGGTCGTCCACCCATCTAAGCAATAAAAAAAAAAAGATCTAATCAATGTATACATTATTGTACATTTCACAGCTATGTTGTATATAAAATAACTAAATACAAACTCTATGTAGCAAGAAAAAATTATATTATTTGATTCACAGGGCGATGAAGAAGAAAAATGGGCTGAGAAAGCAGTAGATAGTTTAGTCAAAAAGCTCAAGAAGCGGAAAGGTGCTGTCGAGGAGTTGGAGAGGGCTCTCTCGTGTCCTGGGACACCATCGAAGTGTGTCACAATACCCCGTTCATTAGATGGAAGATTACAGGTATTATCGCCATTCTGTACTTCAACCTAACAAGAGGTGGTAGGGTGTCTTGTGACCCGCACCGGTAGATACCACCCAGCCTATCTCTGCCGTGAAGCAGTAATCTGTTTCGGCTTGAAGGGTGGGGCAGCCGATGTACTGTAAAAAGTGAGACCTTAGAACTCAAGTCTCAAGATATGTGGCAGTATTTACGTTATTAATGCCTGTGAGCTCTGGTTACCACTAATACCACGATAATTGAACCGTTAGCTCATTCACCTAAAAGCAGTAAAAAAATATTAAAATCATTTGATTGTCCAGCTATAGTTTCTCTATTATGAAATACCTGCTTTTAATCTAAGCACCTTCCAATGTGAGGTATGTACAGAAGTATTCAAAGTGTGTACAAAGTATGCAATTAAGAGTGATTGTGTTGTTTGAGTTCCTACTCTTTACCAGTGTAAAGAGTAGAAGAATATTCCACTCGTTGATGCCATTATGAAACAGAATTAAATACTTAATACTTCGATAAAATACCAGAGTGATTTATGTAATTAAGATGATTTTATTATTTGGAATTATATTAATCTATTTATATCACTAAATATTTGAATGTTATTATCACCAAAATTCAAGACGGGTGATTAACTGCAATGCCCAGTGCAAATTCCAGTCATTCTTGTGAGTCATAAGACATATTAATTATAATTATCGTTATGATTGGCATGATATGGTAAAGTATTTGAACCATCGGAAGTGATATAATAACAGCAAAAAAAAAACTGGGAGATTAAACTCAAAAAGTAGTTATAATTATTCAATATAATTGACCAAATTACCTGCCAAGAGTAACCAATATTAAAGTTATCAATTAAATTTATGTTCAATTTGCTGTAAAAATGTTATTTGTTTTAAATTTATGCATATTAACATAAGTTTTGGGGGTGGTAATTTATTTATAAAACAAAAATGTAGCAAACAACATGCAAATTTCAAAACAAATTTTAAAAGCATCACCCCTTATTTTTCAGGTTTCTCATCGCAAAGGCTTGCCGCACGTGATATATTGTCGAGTATGGAGATGGCCGGACCTTCAGAGCCACCACGAACTCAAACCTCTCGAGATTTGCCAGTTTCCATTTAGCGCCAAACAAAAAGAAGTCTGCATAAACCCCTATCACTATAAGCGTGTTGAGAGCCCCGTTCTCCCACCTGTCTTAGTGCCACGGCATTCAGAGTTCGCTCCCGGCCATTCTCTATTGCCATTCCAAAGAACCGCCGAACCTTCTATGCCCCACAATGTCTCTTACTCTGGTTCAGGTTTTCCGCCGTCAGCCAGCTCTGAATTACCAGACACCCCGCCTCCAGCGTACTCGCCGCCTTCCGAAGACTCTGAACCTCCTGGCGAGGTGGCCCCAGTTTCCTATCAAGAGCCCCTATATTGGGCTTCAGTCGCTTACTATGAACTAAACTGTAGGGTGGGTGAGGTATTCCACTGTAACTCCCATTCTGTTGTCGTCGACGGCTTCACTGATCCGTCGAACAATAGCGACAGGTTTTGCCTTGGGCAGCTCAGTAATGTCAATAGAAACTCCACTATAGAAAACACAAGGCGTCACATAGGGAAGGGAGTGCATTTGTATTACGTAGGGGGGGAAGTGTACGCGGAATGTCTGTCTGATGCTGCGATATTCGTGCAGAGTCGTAACTGCAATCACCATCACGGCTTCCATCCGTCGACCGTGTGCAAGATCCCGCCCGGCTGCTCGCTAAAGATCTTCAATAACCGGGAGTTCGCGCAGCTGCTTTCCCAGAGCGTGAACCACGGCTTCGAGGCGGTATACGAGCTGACCAAGATGTGCACTATCCGGATGTCGTTCGTGAAGGGCTGGGGGGCGGAGTACCACCGACAGGACGTGACGTCGACGCCGTGCTGGATCGAGATCCACCTGCACGGGCCCCTGCAGTGGCTCGACAAGGTGCTGACGCAGATGGGCTCCCCGCACAACGCCATATCCTCCGTCTCCTAGCCTCCCCACCCACCGTGATCCTGAATAGATACTAAAATCTCATTTTGATTTTTTTTTAATTTGCATTTGATTATTTTAAGTTTTAACGGTTTCTTTGATACGATCGTGACTTTGATAAACTTACGTTGGTATTTTATTATTATTATTATTTTAATATGTTATTATTTTTACAAAATTTAGATGAGTTTTGATTAATTCGTTTTTTTTTTATATATAACTTGTATTTTATTATTATGTTTGCTGTTGTATCGAAGCCAAAATGGCGTCTAATGCAGCTCAAATTAAGTGTCCAACTTTTTAAAGAGGTAAGGTAGTGTGATCGTTTGTTATGATTACAATAAAGACATAATTAAGGATTTAATTATACTCGTGAAAGTTATGACAAGGTAGAAAAGATATTATTTTGTATATATATATATTATATATAACAAGTGCTTTTGTGGGAATTTTGCATAGGGATGTAGTATAAAAGTAATAATTAAAAACTCACTCTCTTATAGTCTATTCTTTTTATATATTTCGTCTTTGCATGTGTATTTTTGTCATAAGAATAGAGTATAAAACTGAAATTTTATATCGGAATAGCAATTTGCTGGTTGAATTCAATAGTTGCACTAATAAATACTAAGGTTTTGCGAACCTGCGATTGACTGCGGACGATGCTCATTTGTATGAAATAGTTTGTGAACGATCGCGGGCGACGTTTTCACTTTCATTAAGATTCATACAAACCAGCTGGTTGATTTCTGCAGCGGCGGCTGAGCAACAATTCCGCTAGTTTTGAGAGTTTACCTTAAAAGAGATAAATGGACCGTTTATTTTGAAAGTGGTGTAAGTCCATTTTCTTTTGTTTCGAGAAAATTAAAGGTTACTATATTTGTTGATTTAAAAATACAGGCAAATCATATGAGGTCTGGCTATGCCACCTACCTCTGTCAATTGGACTTACATCACTTTCATAATCGATGATAATGCAATTTTATTTACCGACCGATTTTAAGTTGTACAAAACATGGGATTTTTTTGAGAAATTAAACACGGACTAGTTATATATAAAAAAAATTACATTAAATTAAGCATGAATTACGTGATAGCTCATTTTTCTCAAAAATTGACTTACACCACTTTCAAAATAAACGGTCCAAATTTGAATTCTAATATCAAAACTGTAGCTGCAAAACATAGCCAGTGTGCACTAATCGCTAATTGCTCAAACTATCTTTTTTTTAACATGTGCCATTATTTGAAAATGTCGGCGAAATGTCGTGTTTTGTGTTATACATATTATATTTTTTATTTGAAAATAATTGACCTGCAAATTCCCACAGATAACGTGCGTAGTTAAGTAATGATATTAAATAGTTATTATTATAGAGAGGAACGTTTATGATAGTTATAAGAATAAATATAGGTTTTTAATTTAGTTCTGGAAGCGTAGCATTAATAATTTTTTTACTAACATTTGGTTTTGAGGTTATTAATTACATGTATATCCAATTGCATGAAAAAAAAAATAAGAAAAAATAGACAGAGTCAGTGACGTCCAGTTCGGGATAGTCTGTGGTGGAATGGCGTCATAAACTCATTTCCTAATGAACGTTCGACGCAAGCGCACGTCGCTGAGCAGCTGAGACGTGGAAATTAATAACGCAATAACATTAATACGTTAAATAAATTTAAAAGAGCCCTGGAACTCATTAAGTTAATGATAATTTATGAGAAATGAACGAATTTTACCAAATAACATTAAAATTAATTGTCTAATGTATTTTATTCAAAAACGTTTAACTAAAAAGTTGTACTGAATTTTTTTTTGGGAATTTTGTCTTATTATTTGCCGATTTAACACCACATAATTGAAAATGAATAATTTATTCGTTGTCTGGAAAACGAAGTGCCATCAAAAACATATTGATATTTTGTTTTTTTGTTTTTTTGTTTGAAGGGACACACGACATTACGAAACAATGTGTTTTGTTGATATCGAAACAAAGTAATATCGATACGTCTCTATATAGACGTTAAAGTAAGACACTTAGATACGTCTCTGTATAGACTTTTCGTATTTTCGGATCTCGTTGGCTGAAATTAATGACGAAACATCTAAAAATAACCAAAGGGTTGCGTGCACGTTACATTAAATTTGATATACAGGGTGTCCCAAAAAGAATGGATAATCCTGAAACACCTCATAGTAGAGCTATTGGAGACACCAAAAAAATAATAATAAAACGATTAAACCGTAAAAGTTAGGTATTATAAAATATATACAGGTGTCTGTCACCTCGATTTAATTTTTTGGTTAAATGGTTAACAAAGCCCATAGATATATGTGAATGATACTAGGTTGATACTGTCAGACTTGTGATTTAAGCCTGTATAGTACCTATATAACGGGAGGCCCGTACTTCGAAGTGGTAATAGGCAAGGTGGCGGTACTTGCTCGTGTAACTCATTAGAACCACAGGACCTAGCCCAACCACCGGAAAACAAATATTCTTCACACCTAATTAAAACAAATATATCTATCGACTTTAAATCGCGGATATCGTGCAAGAATATATCGAGACGTGACGAGGCTATTTGGTCAAGCGACATTTTTGCAACTTTACAGGCTCTCCTTTAAAGTTTAAGTTCAAATTTTGGAAAAATATCATAACAAAAAAACTTCAACTATTCGAGTGGAGTTTTGTTTTTTGTTTTTTATTGCCTTTGTAAGCAGACTAACACACGGCCCACCTGATAGTAAGTGGTTACCGTCGCCCATGGACTTCAGGAATACCAGGGACAGAGCCAAACCGCTGCCTACCGCTTAATACTCTCCGCAAGCCTCGTTTGAAGAAGGCGTGTCATAGCGTTCGGGAAACACCCAGTAAATTTAATTGAAGTTCAATTAAAACATCATTACTGTTGATACTCGTAGCAAATAAAACCCACCTTTAATTACAATAAATAATCACTACATAGTATATAAAAGAAAGTTGCTTTCTCTGTCCCTATGTATGCTTAAATCTTTAAAACTACGCAACGGATTTTGATGCGTTTTTTTTAATAAATAGTGATTGAAGAGGAAGGTTTATATGTATAATAACATCCATTAAATAGTGGAGAAATCAATAATAAATTACAGTTTCCGAAGCGATGCGGGGGCGGGTCGCTAATTTTATTATATAACTGATAAATGTCGCTTAAACCAAATAGCCTTTAATCCCTCAATATGTAAACATTCGAATGATTCACGTTTTTATTGTCTCACTAGCTGACCCGGCATACTTCGTAGTGCCTCAATCGATAAATAAAAGACCTAAACTTTTGTATAAAATAAACATAAAAACAAACAAAAGGAATCCGTCCGACGGGGGACACATCAAAGGAAAAACAAAATTGTTATTTTTATTTAATTCCGAGCATTTTCATATTTATCGACCTTTTAAACCTTCTCTGGACTTCCACAAGTAATTCAAGACCAAAATTAGCCAAATCGGTCCAGCCGTTCTCGAGTTTTAGCGAGACTAACGAACAGCAATTCATATTTATATAATATATAGAAGGTTTGTTTGGTTGATTTTTTTCTAAGCTGTATAACTCTTTCATCATAACGCTTATCGATATCAACTAATACGCTTTTATGAAACCAAAATTCGTATCGCGACAAAATGCAAATACTATAATTTTTTTTTTTTTGTTTGTTGATATAATGATCTCAGAATGTTAAAATATAAGATTTTATTAAAAAAAAATTATTAGTTCCTCGGAAGAAATTCGTTACGTTTTGATGCATTATTAATGATGTTTGTAATGAGTGCGAAATGTGTTAGTTTATTTTTTTTAAATAAATAAAATAATATTGCCATTGAGGAAGCGGGGGAAACCAGAGTGCTGCAAACGAGATTTGAATTGATAATTAATGCACAATATCATAAGTCCACATTTGAATATACCATGAGAATAATTTTAGAACATTTCAGAAAATTAGGATTTTATAAGCTTTCTGATTTCGTGCCTGACAGAGAACGCACTACTTTAGAATATGGCGCCAGTATTTATCATGTGCCATATATATATATGTTACTAACTCTTACCCGCGGATTTGCGCACGTAATATCGAACACGGTATCCCTCTAGAACTATCTTATAGATTAAAAGTTATGTCTTTTTCTGTATCCTTGAAAACGTGTATGAAAAACTTCATTATATTTGGTTAGTTGAGATGTGAACGCGTAACAAACAAACCAACTCACTATTGCATTTGTAATATCCTACTATTAATATAAACGCGAAAGTTTGTAAGAATGTATGGATGTGTGTTTGTTACGGTTTCACGCAAAAACTACTGAATGAATTTTGTTGATACTTTGAAATAATATAGCTTACACCTCAGAATAACCGATAGGCTATAATTTATAAAGATATATTGTGAATTACTCAAAATATAACGATAAGTGTCAAGTAAATCTGCCATCTTATTTTCATAATGAATAATAAATTACAGTCCCCTAAGCGAAGCGAGGGCGGGTTGCTAGTTATGCTTATACCTGCTAGCATTTGTTCTCGACTACTATCAAATCCCTACTATCAATTTAAGCGCTTTTATCGGCTATTTAATTTATTTTACTATCCAACTGTTTTAGTGATAATTTGTTTTTAAAAAACACGTTTATCGGGTACCCAATTGAAAGAACGCCGACGACTCCTCAGTTAGGACACTGAACAGACTCATTTCGAGGGGTGAAAGGCACAATATGTATGCGACATTTTGTAATTAAAGATGCGTTTTATTTTTGGTATTAGCATCAACATTTCGTTTGTTTTTAATTAAACTTCAATTAAATTTACTCCATTGAAATAACTGAAGAAGTTGTGATTTTTTTTCCAAATTTTAAACTTTAAATAGCCCTCCTCTAAAGTTGCAAAAATGTCGCTTAAACCGAATAGCCTTTCACCACTCGATTTGTTTATTCTTTCGTCGCTACCTCATGTCGACGGCTTCATGTCTTGACCACGTATCTTTGTGCTTGAAGTACATTATATTTGATTTTGAAGAAGAGTTGTCGTTTATGGATATAGGGCTGTATGCTTAGTGCGAGTTTTTTAACGTTCTCGATGGCGTAAAAGTAAACTCTTTGTATGGAGTTGGAACAGCGCCATCTAGCGACAAACGCAGGCAAACGTTCCAACTCCATACAAAAATTTGAATTAACTTTTACGCTATCGAGAACGTTAAAAAACTCACATTAAGCACACAGAACGCATCGCTGTTTTGCGACAGAAATAACTAAAACTACCTAACCTTATTTAGAGTGTATTTTTTTTATATTTTATTGCTTAGCCCCCTTAGCGGCAAATGTAGGGACGCTGTAAAAAACTCTCACTAAGCACCCAGAGTTCTCGATAGCGTTAACCCAATTTTGTATGCAGTTGGAATAGCGCCCCTAGCGGCAAAAATACGCAAATTATCCCACTCAATACAAATATGAGCTAACTTTTACGCTATCGAGAACGTTAAAAAACTCTCACTAAGCACTCTGTATTCGGGCGATGGTCTGACGAAGTCGATCGTGACACAGCGCTAAAGCCGCTGCCAACTCACCGCGTTTGACGAAGAATTGCCCCTTTAACGTGTAAATTTTTCAAAATTACTATGAGAATTTATTGTCGATCCTAAGAAAAATGTTGTGTATTTAAAGTTTTCTGGGTCTTTCTCTCAATCTTCGATTTCGGCGGTGTAGATTAATCTCTCCGAATGGTCAGCCTGAAATATAGGTACCCGCAAAAAACCGCAAAGGATATTTGAGTCTACTATTATCAAAGCCGGCAATCTGACTTTTGGACAATGATTGGTAAATCAGAAAAAGGAATTATTGACTTTGTATTCCATTGGCAGTC